AGGTAGATCGCCATAACTCGGTCAAATGTGCTAAAGCTATTATTCTGGGTTGTAAAAAGCACTAGTTGTCTGTCGGCTAAATTTTCTACCAAAAACTGTATAGTGACAGGAACAGCCGGATATTTTTTATCTAAATGCTGCCAGTTGTTGGTAATATTTTTTGTGTTCCAGGTTCCTTACGACGGGCTTTGGATCGATATGAACGAGCCTTCGAGTTTTGGTACGAATATTGAACATCCATGGTATTTTGATAATCCAGACCATCCAAATATCAAACCACTATTTTGTCCTCTCACTGGTGACGATTCTGTATATGACATGCCACCTTTCCAAACGCAGGCTGTTTATCTTTTTGGAGGGAATTCAGTTAGTTTTTGATTTCCACCGAGACACTGAGGTTTGCTTGTGTCAGTCGAGAGTTATGGGTGCTATTGCTTGTAATCAAGTCAAAAGAATTTTATTTTTTTTTTTGCTTTCTTAAACCCTACTACTATTACCATCTTGTAGTATCTTTCAACTAATACGCTTTGTATGTGCGGAATGACTGCTGGAGGAGAACATCGTTTTTATAACACCAAAAACCTATACGGTCTTTCTGAGGCGATTGCAACGCAGTCGGCCATTTATGCGTCTACTGGAAAAAGAGGAGCAATTATTTCTAGGTAAAAAATTATCAAATTAAAACCATTATGGCTTTTTCACTAATTAGAAGCTGAAGTTTTCATTTTTTAAAGTCTTTGCTTTATGAAAAAAATTAAAATTTTTATTTCACAACCTTGTCGAACAAATATTTTCTTTTGTCTACATTAAGTTCTCCAAAAACCAATCAATTTATGTGAGGTTACACGTACAATTATAGTTTCGACACTGTAATGAAGGGATCGTTACAAATTTTAACTTTTACAAAGTGTAGTTATGGTTCCGGGTTCTGATACTTAGCCTAACAATAGTACTTTTCTAGGTCAACATTTCCATCGACTGGCCATTATGCTGGTCACTGGTTAGGAGATAACACTGCTAGGTGGGAAGATTTGCAAACTTCTGTGATTGGAGCTCAGGAATTTAACATGTTTGGAATCCCTTACGTCGGGTCTGATATATGTGGGTTTATTGGTGACACCACAGAAGAACTTTGTTTGCGTTGGCAGCAAATGGGAGCTTTCCATCCGTTTTCAAGGTCTGATTATCTATCAATGGCAATTTTATGTTCAAAAATGTTCCTTGATAATGACTGCGTTTGCTTCTAATTTTATAACCTTTAAAAAACTACTTTCAGAAATCACAACACATTAGGTGCAGCCCCTCAAGATCCTGGAATGTGGGAGAGTGTTGCTGCTGCATCTCGCACTGCTCTTCTGTTCAGATACAAATACCTTCCATATTTATACAGGTATCTTGTAATAATAAATTTTGTTTGTCTTGCTGTGTTATTTTTCAACTTTCTTGCAAAAATTTTGATTTTCAGCCTACACTTTGAAGCCTCTCTGGTTGGCGGCACCGTAATCAGACCATTATTCTTCGAGTTCCCTAGAGATTCGGACACGTTTGACCTCGGACATCAATTTATGTGGGGCTCTGGAATGATGATCATTCCAGTTCTCGAACAGGTGTGATTTTTTTAAATTTTCATCTATTTCTTTGAGGATTCTTCTATCTGTTGGCATCGCAAATACTTATAAACATTCGTTGTGCTTCTCATTACTAAATCAATGTTTCAGGGTGTTTCGATTGTGACCGGCTATTTGCCAGAAGCTCAGTGGTATTCAATGCGAGAAGAAGAATTTGGTGCTATCTACAGGCCTGGTAATAATCGTTTTAGCGCAAAAACAACAGAACTGATACCTGTTCTTGCAAGAGGTTTGTTTTATGCGAATACTGTCGTACCTTTTCTCTTAATTTTTGCTTCGTTTTTAATATCTTTGTATCTATTTGTATTTCTTAAAATTGATTTTACGATACAACTGATCTTCTAATCTTGTGATGTGCTTATAGGTGGTGTTATTA